TCCTTTTGTACTTGTTGAATGCCTGATTTCGAATTTCAAATACAGTACATTCGTTTGTGCTTATCTAGTACTTCTTGATCCGATTACGTTATTTCTGAGATTCTTAGTTAGTACTATAATTCAAATACTCCTAATTATCATATTGGCGTCGCGATGGGGCCTGCGATGGAACAGTTAGATATTCATTCGGATTTTGATGCTTATGAGGATTACTTTGAAAGGTTCGAAATCTGGGCCATGACCAAGGAAGATGATGAGAATATTAATATTGTGGCACATTTTCTCACATTCATTGGAAAAGAAGCATATAGTTTAATAAAAGTTTTGGCTTTACCGGAAAAGCCCATTTCTCTTCCTTATACAACTCTCAAGGAACTACTTCTAGACTATGCTAAGTATACAAATTCCGAATGCGGTAAAGGAGGAAAATTTCCTAAAATGATTCATGAGGATATGAAAAATTCCACTACATTACGTCACTCCATCCGAGTGCATACTCAAGGTTATACAGATAATTCATTTAGGAGTTGCGATGCAGTTCACGAAGATGGGTACAAGTTTGGTCAATGTTTGTGTTGTGGCAGGTTCCACTCTTTTAATTCATGTAAATTTCGTAATTCTAAGTGCTTTAAATGTGGTGATGTTGGAAATATCCACTCAGTTTGTAATACCGATCATAATTAGTTGGGTATTTATAATGATCATTTATCTTTATCAGTGATTTCAAAAGACAATTTAGAGTCGTATAGCAGTTCAGAGTTAAATGTAACTCAGAATCCTTGCGAGACAACAATTCCTAATCAATCAACCTATCAGATTTCCTATGTTATTGTACCAGATATGATTTTTCCTAATGATTCACATATTTCTGATGAAATTTCTTACAAATCTGGTGAAAATATTTCGGATGAACCTAATCATGATCGAAAAACTGATGTAGTTTTGATACATGCTGATTTTTTTAATGATCCTTTACTCTGCAATGACATTCTTAATAAATTTGAGGAAACTATTTCAGAAGAATCAAATCTTGGTGTCGTATCAAATATTATTTGTCCTCATTATGTATTTGTTTCTTGTGAGAAACTTGTTCGATGCGAAACACGAGTATTAAATGAGTTAGAGTTTGATTACAATTCAGATGATATCATATCAACTATTGTTTATCCTTATCATAAAGTCACTCCCAATGTATACTCTAGTCAATGTGAGAAAGATGTTTTAAATGAAGCCACATTATTCATAACTTGGGGATATGAAGATCCGACATTATATCGTTGGGGAGGATAGTGTAAATGTCTATGGTTCAAATTCTAGGTAGCAGTAGTTTCAGTACTCAACCGACATGATGATTGTACACAATCCCAGGAAGCAAGTGAGTCTGTTCTGATTTCGGTTGTTAATTCTAATACTAATGAGTGCATTCTAGATAATGCATAGTCTTTATACAATACACTGTCGGACAGACACAGGATGAACTTAAGAAGAAGACGTACAATTGGTTGCAGACACTTAGACTCCAATTTAAGCTGTAGCGAATATGGTGTTTGAATGAACTAATGATCCCTTTGTATTTGTTGAATGCTTGATTTTGAATTTCAAATACAGTACATTCGTTTGTGCTTATCCAGTACTTCTTGATCTGATTACGTTATTTTTGAGATTCTTAGTTAGTCCTAATTATCATAATAAACCAAGAGGTAGTATCAGTTCATAAAGATAATGAGCCATGTAGGTAGATGCTAACTATGTGGTTGCATTTCATGGGTTTATCGCAACCGATGATTAGACTATTTGATATGACTAAAAATCGTTCGCATTGGAGCAGCTGCACTCCCTGTTTGTCTTTCCTAATATACTAATTGCCCTATTAATCTTTTTTACTTCATTATTCTGCATTTTCTCAAATCGTATCTTCGATGCTTAATCTTTTCTATTACCATTAATACTATTACTACCTCTACTACTGAAAACTTCATCTTGCCGTTAATAGGTTGTGGAAACTTGAGTCGATGTACACAGGTGCCAGGATCTGCCCTGCACTTAACTAACTGGTTTATGTTGACATAAAGCACACCTGTCTGACCGAGTAATTAAAATCACTAGATGCGAATGACATATGAATAATATATTGGGATTGAAAGTCAAACGAACTGTACAATTAGTGAATTTTATACAATTTACAAATGTATATGGATGTCCATCCAGCAATTATATTCAAGACGATGAGATGGTTCGAGATAATACGGCAGTCAGACCAAACTTCTGGGTCACTGTTTTTCCAGACATGCAATGAGTGCAGTGAATTTGTTTATTTCTGATTCGTCCAAAGAATTGCAATACAACTGACTCCTGTTATCTCTAGGCTTCCGTGTGGCGAGTGACTGGCCAAACTAAACCTACTCACCAATCATATAGGAATAAGGGTTACATTCATGATTTCCAAATTACTTAATAATAGTTTCGCATTTCATATATACACATCCTTCTGTTTTTCCGCAAGAGAATTTACAGGGACATTTCAAAGAAAAACGCCAGAACCAATAAACTGTCATCCATGATATTGTAAACTAATGAAGGTCTATACCTTAAGACGTAGTCTAAGCTCTTCCTGTTAATGTATTCAAGAGAAAGTTGAGCCAACTCAAACTTCCATCGACAGGACTGAAGATGTATCAGATAGGTAGGATTTGATAACACTGTACTAGTCACATCTAATAAGCCAATGAAACCAAAGTCGAGAAAGATGTATTTGAATTACAGGCAGAGGTTTATGGGGTATTATATCAAAGTTGGGTAGTTGTTGCAAGTACTTTGCATAGCATATCCGAACGTGATCTAGTACATATGCTCAACCGAGCATCTTCGTTTAACGGTGTATCCAGTAGGTCTAGAGCAATTAGCGTCAATGCCAGAGACTTAGAAAGAGATTTATTTTGGGAACTTGTTTCCCTATACAGAACGAACACTAATTGTTATAACGGTTGGTTTTCCACGTTTACACGTATGGGACGCTAATTTACCTTAGACGAATATTTACACTAGATTCCCTCCCAGCTTCTATTCTACAGAACTTCAACACAACTCAGATCAAGAACACGTGATTAGCCTGAATAGAACATAAATATATTCTACACAAAAACCCGACGCAATCCAACAACAATAAACAATCAATAATAATTATTATAAGGATAGGGGAATATATAACACATCTGGCACCTGTCAGACTATTTGAATGTCTGACTAAGCAAACAACCGATCATTATCATTCTCACCCACACATCACTAATCATCCAAGCTCTTGTCCTTCCCAACCTAAAACTAATTACGTCCGCTAATCGCGTTCACTTATGCATCTTTATAAAATACCTACCTGTCAAAAATCTGATTACGGAGATAATCGAAATTATTACCATAACGGTTATAGTGTCCTCCTCTCCTAGGACCATTTGGAGAAGCAAGAAGTATTTATTACATCGTATCCGCAGACCAAATACATTATACTCTTTAAGCAAAGACGGATAGCAAATAACAGTGGGGTTTAGGATGTGAGTTTCCTTCTACTTAGGTCTCGCCAGTCGGATATACCTGAATCCTGGAGTGGACATCAACTAGTCACAGTCCACCTCTGCTTAAAATCATTGACTTCATAGCAACATCGAGGTAATCCGCACACGATGCACATGTTAATTACAGTCCTAAACATTAATGCGAGGCTTCGAACAACTAATTCAAATGAATTATGTGACTCAAACAAATGTCACAGGAGCTAGATTGGTCGGGAGCATTTGGGAGTAGATATGAACGGGAGTTGAATGTCATTTAGAACTTTGAATATTAACAAGTTGATTGCTTATGAAACAGGACTTCCATCACAGCACTGCATATCTAATACTGAAAATTCTTTGCTGCAATCAAACATGATATTAAATGAGACAATTATTAATAGTCAGAAAAATCAACTGAATTACATCGTACCAATTCATCACAACTAATTGGCCAGCCCATACATCAGTACCACCGACTAGTATCGAGGTATCTTAAAAATTTATTAATCACATATAGGTTCGCGTAAGCCACCTGTCAAAAACGAGCCAATATGCAACTCGAAAATTTAGCCATAATTATTAATCCCAACATATTCTATTAATATAAGTTGTACAAGGTTAGATCTTTTTTTCATACCTAACTGTTCTTAACAAGTATATAGATGATCAGGTTGTTCGAAAAGCATTATGCTAATATATTACATCTCATAATTCCGATAAACCTAGTCCTCAGTGTATGGTTTCATATTTACTAAAAAAGTTACGACCATTCTTAAAACCTGAGTCTATCTAGCTCACTAATTAATGCTGAAAAATAATTGAGATCATATGGATTTGGATATCTTTTTCTATGATTCCTTGATAGCCTACCTATTTCGGTGAATAAAAACCGAGTAGGCATTGGAAAGTTTGGTGGCGAAAAAGAATGGACATTTCGTTCTGTGTGCAGACTTTCAAAAGACTTGGCAGGTTTAGAATTAATATCATAGATGCTTTTATAAATTCTTCTACAAACAACAACCACTTAGTGTAATTTAAGCACTTATATATAGCATTAATACCAGTATTATTAACAACGGTCATAGTACAGTGGTCTTCAGATAGTACCTAAATGTTTCATACATATTAACAAATTATTTTACACATGAACTCAAAAACAAAGTGCTGGTAGGCTCATTTTTAAGCAAACAAGATAAAAGACAAACAACTGTAAGATGAGTATGTTGAAAGTTTGTACTCCTTTTTATAAATTAATAGTAACATTATTACAACAAAATATAAGTTTTGTGTACGAAAAAGAACTAGACAATAGTTGAGATAACGTGTGTGTGCTTTATATATATATATATATATATATATATATATATATATATATATATATATATATATATATATATATATATATACTTATGTACAGATCAGTTTCAACCCATTACGTATAGTTGTCTATTATCAATGGTGATGATGGTGTCGCCGTTCTTTTGAGTGAGAATTTTTATGCTTTTTTGAATGTAATCTATGCTTGGTTGATCTGTGCTCCTGTTGTGGTTCCTGTTCATGATATTGTTTATGACGAGTTCGTTCATCATTTGTGTGATGATATGTCATAGAACTTGAAGTGAAATTAAGTTCACCAACATCATTATCATCATCACCAGATAGTGAACGTTTTCTCTTCTTAACTGATTTCTTTTTCTTTTTCTCCTTTTTCTTCTTCTTATGTTGTTGTTTTAAGTTATCTTTGGAATGACTACTAATACTACTACTGACTTCACCATCATCATCTGAACTATCCAACGTTCTAAAAAGTATTTTAGAAATATATATGGATAAATATTTCATGAAATATTATTTACAATAGCGTTTTATACAAAATTAACAGTTATGACTAATAACTTAATGTTCTGAAACTCATTTATCAACTAAGTAAAAGTTTATGTATTCATTGTTGAAAAAGGCTATTTGTTTGTGTAATGACAACAGTTATCTGGTTGCCCAGAATGAATTAGTGGGTCGGAGTTCGAACTTGAGACCTACTGGTTGAAGTTTAATTCTTTTAGTCTTTAAGCAACAAACATGATAACTGTTAATAATTATTAAAATAGCAAGAGAAATTGTAACTGGGTCTTGCAAACAAAAACTGATAATTTTACAGAAGCCATAACTTTAAACTTTCAGTCAGATTCAAAAAGCTACTATTGGTATAAGGAACTAACTTATTCATGAGAACACTCAGCAATTTTCAATATATCAAAGCCCCAACTAGATGACAAGAAAACTGTTCAGTTAAGTCAATAATTGGTATTTTAGTAGCTACTGGATACGCTTCAGACACTAAATATTCATTAGATTTAATACTTCATTTTAATTAGAAACGCAACTACTTATAACAAGTTTCATATCGATTAATGTTACATTTAGTTAAATCACTAGAATTATGTTTAAAAATGGTTGTCTGTAGTAAATATACCATATGTGATCTTTGTTAACGTATATATTAGCTGTTGTTCAAATAATGAGTGGATTTCGAACCAAAGTTTACACTACACCTTATACTAAATATCTAACATGGACGAAATGAAATACACATATTAATGAAATTAAATTCGCATATTCCAAATGTAGTATTCTTTGTGAGATTTCAAAAATGTTTCCTGGTAGCAAATTCTAAAAACTGTCAGGTTTTACGTTCGTCTAATGAGGAATCTGCAGTTAAGGTACATGGTTTTTAACTAGTACATCGTATATTCAATCACCGCTTTAAAAAATTCGCTCTGGTAAAATGGATAGTATCATTGGCCCCCTCATGAAAACATGACAACTTAAAGCTGAGTATAGAAACATATACGTGGTAAATAAGTCATTAGTAATTTTAGGTTGGAGTATTTTTACAAAATTAAAGGCCGACTAATAGATAATTGAGAAAACACAGCTGATGCTGTTAGTTTTAGTATGGGGATGATAGTTTTACATAACACATATTTGAGCCTTAGTCATTTGTGAATCAACAACTAGGGAAAAATTAATACTAGGTTAATGTCTTTAATTTGAAGTGTGAAACGTGATTTGCAATTAAATGTTGAGAAATCTTTGATATGGTAAAGCAAATTTTTATGCTGTATCATACCATATCATCAGTTTTCAAACTCTTAATGTTCCTCCTATGTACACTAATAACACTCTTCTTTTGTCTTCTTCTGACTGACTGATTGGTCTAAGACAGAATAATATTTCTAATCTAGGCAAAAATGAGTTTTTAATAGTTGAGATCATTAGTCAATTGAAGCTAGACTATTATGGAAAATATGAGCACACGAACATATATGTGATCACTGAGTTACATTAACATTCACATAATTGTCCGTTGCTTTATATGGAAGTTACAACTGATAGCTTTTACATATTTAAATCAATAATTTTGAAATAGTATGTAAATTATCATTTTTAGAAAATCAATGGAGGAATAAAAGAACATAAAGACTCTAATAGTATGGCACATTAGTCACAGTGAGGAAAAATATCAAAACGATTACAACTAATGTTAAGTGACTGAAGTCTCAATCAATTATAACTTGCACTGATTATTTGTATTTTGATATCTAATAAGATGAAAAATGACTTTAAAAATTAATTAACGAGTTCACTACCTATACAAGAAACTAATACAACTTTTAAAATGATACACTAGATGTACCCACTAGTCTTGTTAAAAAGTTTCAACATTTCTTACTTAACATAAATATTTATTTATAACTTTTGTTAGTTTGATTACTGTTAATATGTTCCGAAATATGATTCAGCGAAGTAATGGTTTATGGTTTTGAGGAGCTAACTTTTAACAAATCTCATAGATTCGAATGGTGTGTTGACATATTAGTTTCAATATCCCCAGCACAAGAGATGTGGCTTATTAAGGCTTCGATTAAGCAACGATACACTAGAGATTATCACACTCGTCTTTTTATTTTCAGATATATGCAGTTAATTATATTCTAAGTAACCACATTTCAGACAACAAACACCAAACAGTTAAAGAAAGAGTGTGTTATTTCTTTATTAAAGATGAAGCAGACATGAGTACATACCATATAAAAAGCAAAACACTTTAGGAAGTCAAGAGATTCCAGATGGTATAAACATAAACTACTTCGGTTAATGTTTCTCTGGCTACTGTTTTAAGAAGAAATCTCATACTTTGAACTTACAGTGGCACTGCCTTGAATGTGATTCCAAAATGATAAGATATCAAGTAAGTATAACTAACTGTCGCTTGGTTGTTTCTTCGTGTACTGAAGCGCGAAACTTAAATCCCAATATTGAAATGACTGTTTCACATTTGTAAATAGCCTAGAACATAATCGTGGTTTAAAAGTTAATAATTGGACTACTGATTAAGTGATGTACAAGAGAACATTAATTTCACTTGGTATTCTCACTTATTTGTTAATCAGAGATAAGAAATATCCAGAATTTAAAGTATATAATTGGAAAGCGAGATTCGCGTAAACAAATTGCTAGGCATGTTAATTTTTTTAAAACTGTTGTTATGAGTGGAAAAATAAGGATACAACTGTGATGGAATGGTTGATTGTCCAGTCTTTTAATGTTCTTTGGTCAAGGTCTGTAGATGAATAAGTCAAAAGATTCCATTTGATGAGAGGCTATCGATCGGTTATATCTTATTAATAAGCAGAATGATTCGATCAACATTGAATATGCAATAAACAATCCACAAGAAAGATTTCATGATCATTCTATTATCTCAGTTTGCACTATGAACTCCATATACCTCCAAATGATGCATTGCAAATTATAGTACTACCATTAGCTTACATACCAAATGAGCTTGATTGAAGAACGGAACAAATTCTTGAAACTTAAGAGGTTTAAGACAAGTTCAGAATTAGTATTTTATTTGGATGAGACACTATGAATACATAACTAGTTTCCCTCAAAGTAGCATAAACTGTCTCCATGAGGACTGTTTATATAAATTTTTATTTAACTGTGGTGTTATTTATTCCGAAGCGACATTGTGGTTTATTAAATGGATTACGATTTATGTTGAGATTATTTATATCTTAATTCCTGGAATACTTAATTACTTATGATGTTATGTGTTCATACATGATAAAGTATCCTCGTAGGGATTTAATTTGAATCATGAAATAAACAAAGTATGTGATTAGTGTGTTAATCAGTCGGTTGCGACGTAGAACCTGGTACGTATGTACATAGATTCAAGTTGCAACACCTCATTAGCACAGAGATAAGACTGTCAGGCGTGATGGTTCGATATGAACTAAATATGGCACACTCGCAGTAGATGAAACTTGACGATAGACAGTGTAAGGTTAGAAGCTAATAATTACTGTATGCTTAATAACTATTATAACCTCACTATTAGTTCCATAGATTTGTTATCCTCTACGTATTCACAAAACAGTAATTAATAGGCTAAAATTTAGACCTGCGGTTTGCTGGTGACCTTTGTGGACGGTTATATAACATCACTTGCTAGTAGAAAAAGAATGAATCAAAGGCCAGTACATGAGTTTGCACTTGGTTACTAAGTTAAATCAGTTACCAATGTGTAAAGCTAGTTAAAAAATGAATACAGGAAAGTTAAAAAGCCTCATCTTTTTTAAAGATAAAACTTAATTTTGCCCGTTATGGAAATGCATCGTTCACTCAGTCTCCTGGACTTCCAGGCTGTTAATTTTTCAATCCCCTTTTCTCTAGTCTATTGCTATTAGAATTGCTTTTATTTTGTCGCTCATTCTGCACGGTTGCATTGTTAGTGGAGTAAAAAGTACTTGGATTTGTATGCTTTCCTTCTAGTATGCAATGTTATAATTTCGTTAAGATATTTACAAACAAACTGAATACTCAGCAGCCTTACAGTAGTCATTCTTTTGTAACCAGCTAGCCGTTAACTGATAAATTGAGTTAATGTCGTGAAACCAATAAACACCCTTAAAGTAATTCATTTACAAAAAAACAGGTCCATGTAATTTGGTTTAAATCACAGTGTAGTTATATACGGACTAATCACTATCCAAATGTCAGAACCGGAGTACGTGGAGTGGAGTTTAAAACCAAGATCCGAAAATGTATTGATTACAGTTGTTGCTGCAATAAATATCCTAAACAGAACTACTTTGTCTCCCTCAGAGATATTTGTAGATCTGTTACATATCCCACTTGTCATGTGTGATTTCTTTACATTTTCCTAATTTCATGATAGCTTTTAGGTAGTGACTAGCTAGGTAACGTCCCTTAACCTGGATCAATTTAAATTCATATTACACATGTCCAAATCTTCGTCAGCCCTAACTATTTACAGGAATAAATATTGCTTATGAACATTAGAGTTAATAAAAGTTCTAAGACCGTGACGGAAACACGCCGTACAATTAATTTATGGTTGATTTAACACATCATAAGTGCATTTCTTTGAATAAGAATTATTTCACCTGCAGCTCTTCTAGAGCTATTGCCGGTTCCAAGATCGGGTAAAGGAGGGTCGAGTACCCCAAATGCCCTGATACGGCCGAGGGTGGGGACAGTAAGCTCTGCCTCTCAAAATGCTCTCACATGACCACGTGCATAAGCCACTGCCAGGGAAGTCTGACTCACTGACTTCTCGCGGCGGGGGTTTTGTCTACGGAATTGAGAGGACGAAACGAGAATGTCCGGCGCTTTAACCGAGTTGGTGGACACGGAGAATCCATCTAGGGGTGTTGGAGATCCCTGATTCCAAACAAATGGTGCACATGGGCTCCAGGATCTTAGGGGAAAAATGGCGTATGAACCTATCTTTGGTCACCTGCTACCATGGGACTGCATCTCCTAACGTTACTCCACTGCCTTGTGGATCAGATCTTTAGGTTGAAGGCTCCGGGCGTGACTTCCTAAACAAACCACCTGCTTCTGTCTGGGCACCCGGGCAGTATCACAGTCCATACACAAATCAAGTGACTTGTGTGATGCATATGTATTCGGTGACCCTTTGTACCAATATTTCTGTGTTTAAATAGGGTCGAGTGTGAAGTCAGCAAATCGACCCCATAGTAAACAACCTTGCTAGAAAGGGTAACCAGAATGAACAATTTAAACCATTTAGACTGTCTCCTTTGAGTTGAAGGATCATCATTTAGAATAATTATGACGCCTCATGATAAAAGCCGATATTCTTCGAAGTCACGAGGCCGATGCCCCTTTTAACAACCAGAACAATTAATTGAGGTACATGGAATGTTCGGACAGCGTGTGAGACCGGAACAACCAATGAAATGGCTACGGAAATGAGAAGATACAACGTAGGAATAAATGGAACCCATTGGATCTAAGCTGGACAGAAAAGGATAGATACGGGAGAGATGCTGCTATACTCCGGTCACGAAGAGGAAGATGCTCCACATATTCAGGGAGTTGCTCTCATGTTGTCCAAAGCACGTTACGCACTCATGCGATGGGAATCTCACGGATCGAGAATTGACAAAGCATCCTTCAAAACAAAGAAGGAGGAAAATACAATCAATGTTATCCAATGTTTTGCACCAACCAATGATAGTAATGACGACGATAAAGGTCAGTTCCACGAGAGGCTGCAATCGATCATGGCGAAGTATACAGGAAAGAATATGACCATCCACATGAAAGATCTAAACGCTAAAGTCAGGATGCACAACACTGGATATGAAGATATCATGAGACCACATGAATTGACTGGGAGAGACGAACGAGAGTGGTGAGGGACTTGCAAATTTAAGTGTATTCAACAAACTGGTTATAGGCGGCACAATATTCCCACACAAACGCATACACAAAGTTACATGGGCATCACCAGATCACACTACACAGAACCAGATCGACCATATTTGCATCACCAAAAAATTCAGGTCAATGGAGGAAGTGAATACCAGGACAGGAGCTGACATAGCTAAAAGAGAAGAAAATATAAAGCAACTATATGACACACCAAAGAAACTGGAAGGGAAATATAGTAAACCATAGGGACCGGTCAAGAACAAACAAGACAAGACAACACTGAGATTCAAAAACAGAGAAATAAATGGATACAATACTTTGAGGAACTCTTCAATAGGCTAGTTCCATTCGATCCACCGCACATAGTAGCAGTACATACAGACCTTCCTATTGATGTCACTCCACTAACAATCGAAGAAAACAGCATGGTCATCAGATAAATCAGGAGTGGGAAAGCAGTAGAATTTGATAATGTACCAGCTGAAGCTCTGAAGTCAGACATAGAAGTAATTAGTACCAAGAAAGGTTTTCAACAGTGTTGCTGAACCGGATGAAAAATTTGGTAGTCATCCAGCTTCGAGATCAACAGGTCGGATTCCGTAACGATGGGTCATGCACAGACCAAATAGCGACACTACGGGTCGTCGTTGACTAATCGACTGAATGCACCTCGTCAATATACATCAACTTCCTTGACTATGAGAAGGAATTTGACAGTGTGGATAAGAGAACCTTATGGAACTTTTCCGACACTATGAAGACAGTAGCTGATAAAATTTTCAACCTCATCCGGAATTCATACGACGGACTACACTGCTAAATCGTGCAAGAAGGATAGCTGAAAGACTCATCCAAAAAGGACCGGTGCCACACAAGACTAACTACTCACCCCCATTCTTTTTCTTCTGGTAGTTGACTGGATTATGAAGACTTCGTCATTTCAAGGGAAGCATGAAATACAATGAACGTCTTGCATGCAACTAGATGATTTGAACTTTGTAGATTATTTATTTAATTGAACACATATTGATACAAAGGGGTATCAAACACATATTCGCCACACAGTGTCCCTTAGCAGATAATTAACCCTTCTATACCATGACCACCAACAAATGCAGATCAGGACACATTGTAGCAAGTCTCTGTAACAGGCCTCAGCATACATAAGGGAAGAAGCTGAAATACGATGCGGAGAGCACCAATCAAATCACACTTGGTGGAGAAACCCTGGAAGAGGTGGGCAGTTTCATGTATCTGGTCAGCACCATCGATGAACAAAGAAGATTGGGTGCAGACGTAAATACAGGGATTGGCAAAGCAAGGACAGCATTTCTACGGTTGAAGAACATATGTAGCTCACAACAACTGTCTGAAAGCCAACATCAAAGTGAGAATCTTCAATATAAACGTCAAGACACTTCTAATGTACGTAGCTGAAACTTCCAGAGCTACTACAACCATCATCAGAAATGTACAGGTATTTATAAACGATTGTCTACGTAACATACTCAATGTCCGTTGGCCGGATACCCTCAGCAATAGCCTACTGTGGCAGAACATACCAACTTCCAACTGAAGAGAAAATTAGGGAAATTCGCTGGATTTGGATAGGACATACATTGCGGAAATCATCAGACTGCATCACGAGGCAAGAGCTAACATGGAATCCTGAGGGCAAACGGAAAAGAGGGAGGCTAATGAACACACTGTCGAGGATCGGATGCGCACATCAAAAGGATGGATAATAACTGGAAACAACTGGAAATGACTGCCCAGGACAAAGTTCGATGTAGAATGCTGGCATGTGGCCCATGCTCCTCCACGAGGGGTAACAAGCGTAAGGAAGCAACTCTACGACCCCGATACTTAATGACTTCCGTTTATTGAGTTCAGGAATCTAGTTGTAAAAACAATCACAGAAATAAGTACCTATTATCTAAATCAGAGTTCAAAACACCGAAACGTATTACAGGATATTTACATTAAAAAATCACAAGCATACTTCATTTCCTTTTGTGCCTCGACTAGACGCTTCGTTTCTGCGTCATCTTTTCTTCGCTGAACGGCCAAATCTACGGAATTCCCATCTTGAAATTGTTCCCCGATTCCAAGGGCCTCTTTAAAAATTGTGTTTTTAAGGATATTTACAGCAGCATTTTCATGGGTCCCTTTCGGTAGCAATTTACCGTGTTCAGATTGAGAGATTTCGAATGGCTCCACATTGGGAGTTTTTTTTATTTCGGAGGCCTTTAACTCATCCAGCAACTTTTTGCGAAAACCACTGACCCTAAACTCAATTTCGCTTTGCGTGTACCTAAAAGAAAATGCATACAAAAGAAACCTACCCTTGTTCCTCCATTTCTTGTTCCATCTCAAAACATTTCACTTCAATTTTTCGTTTTCGTTCATGCTCTAGTATTTCTTTATTTGGTTCCTTGAACAGCAGAGCATCTGCTCTCTTGATATCTTCCTCTGTTTTGTAAGGGTTTTGCTCTTTGAAATTACTAATGAAGGCCAAATTTTTCTGAACATATCCATTCGTCCCACTGCCTCGAGGAGTTGGTAAGCCTATTCCATTATACATTGTAATTGGAGTATGTTGTGTTAAAGGTAACTAAGGCAAGTGTCAGACTCAGTGGCAGTGCAACCTTTTACCACGAAAAGTGGAACAGAAAGCAGAAAATGTGGACAGGTTCATCAAACATATAAGACCCATAAAAACTAAGCAATGAAAGCAATCATATAGCGTACAATGAACAAACTTTAGTGTGAACTTTAAAAATCACACCGAGATGTTACAAGTAGAACCTTAGATGAGTCACATAGCGCCCCTTAATTTTGCATGCATTTGAAGTGTTTTAATCTCGAAAGTAATGTGTGGTTGGTGAACCATATAAATGACTTTATGAGAAAGCTAGACTCCTCTTTTGGTGCCAGTAATGTTGTCCAGTTCGTAAACTCCCTCCCGACTTATTGGTACTCATATAATGTGAGTAAAAATCAGCATGGGAAAAGTATATGAGTGAACCAATCAGATTTCGATGAGAAGCTATCATTGCATCGTAGCTGAAGTCATCTCATGATAAAAGCCAAAATCACTAAGGTATGGGATTAAGTCGTTCATGTCAAAACTGCTTATCAATTCTAACCGCACATCTTTACCATAAACCGTTTCATAACGAAAGTTTCCAATGGCTAAAACGTACGATTAATTAAACAAAGGTCATCCATATACTTAATTTCCACGGAAAAATTTAGGTTTAAAAATGAGAGCCTATCTGAGCAAAACAAAAGAACGAAAGTAACCCGAACAAACGGACAGAACGTACTCACATCAATCTATTGAAGCCAACAGCAAAAACCACAGTGACAAATGAGCGACGTTGTAACAAAACTGAAATAACGCGCGTGCACCAAGCACTTGATACAAACCCAACTTTGTACTGTCACTCAGCTGAAGTTATCCGACCTACTGGTCAAGTTTGTGGAGTAATATGGTATACGTGCCATGTTCTTTTTCTTTGTAAGCCATGATGAATACAGTCTGTTGCAGAGTTCTATTTTATTTAATTTACAGTTTGATGGTAATTTTTGGCGTTCCGGCTGACTTAAATATTCCTATTTAGAGTACATTCGTATTGTAAGTGTGATTTTGTGGAAATGCGTTAAACTCATTCAGGACTGTGGTAGTTCCGATGCGTTGTATATCTCCAAACTCTGGTTATCATAAAGGCATAACAAATTGTTTCACAGATTATATGTTGTATTTTGGGCTCTAGAAACCTAATTATTTGAGGTTTGTTATGAACTTTATCGTTGATATCTAGGACAGCTTTTGATATTTCTCAATACACAAATAAATTTGGTTTGCTTGTAATCTTGAAGGGACTGATGTTCCTCGTGGATTCTATGTAGGGTCACTAGACTTCTTAAACATAGACATTGTCACTGAGCTTTCTGGGCCGCGTCTGAACTTCTACTAGACTGAGATACACCAACAACTAACTGATCACTATGTAGCAGTCTGTGTCATGTTTGTCAAGCCCTGCCCTAGAGCTGATTAAATCCTGACGCTCAAGTTCGAGTGTTGACACTAGTCTAACTAACTACGCATCACATGAATACGGGTGCCCCTTGCTAGAGAGTGGCAGTTAACATAGACTCTAGGTTCATGGTTTCCTGTTGACTAGCTATAACCAACAGTCTTTGATTATCTAAGGAACACCTAGTTTAATTTGCTAGAGATACATAAAGCTTTTCCTAACATTGTTGTGCTAAGTACAGCCCAACAAGATCAAACCAACTATTCTAAGGATTTTAGACCAATATAATATTAAATTTCACGACTAGTGCTTCAGTTGTGATAATGTATAATATTCCATGAACTAGAATCACTATTAGACCTCGAAAATCGCCTAAAAGATTTCGAAGAGAAAACAAGTTCTTGAAAGGCACATTCACAACATATATAGTCTCCAAGCGTTGTATCCGAAATTCACACTGGCGTTTTCGGAAAGATGATGATTTTAGATTTCAATAACTTCCAACCAAACAATGAGAAAACCGGAAGTCTGAGACCCAAGTAGCTAAATATTTTAGCATACTAAAAAATTCTTAAAGATTTTTAAATATGATTGACGAATTTCATAACGAACCCTCAATATTTGGGTTTCCAGAACCCAAAGTACACATGATCAAACCAAACCAAGGTAGAAACCTTAGTTTATGATCAAAACTATACACGAAATTAAAGTCCAGTAAAAGTGGGAGGTATTCACGCCGATAGTGTAGATTAAGTTAGCTAACTTGAGTTTCTCCTGTTATCAACCACTACACAATTCATTGTTATTTTAAGGGCCTGATATTATAATTTGTCATGCTAATCAGATCAAGTATTATATAACCTATTCAAGTGCATTATCATATGCGTACGTATTCTTATAATGTACACTTTCTGCAGAGATTTTTGTAGACTTCGTTAGCGTCTATATACTTGTTTGAATTTTGTGTTGTCTACTATTCGTACGTCGTTAGATAGTCTAGACTGTTAACGTCTCACCGAATCGCATTTAATAATTTGCGTTCATAGCTTATCTTCCTCATTGTATGCATGGTTTATATCCTTCAAACATATTTCGTATCTAGCTCCTTGTATCACAGTTACAGTATGGCCCTACACACACAACAAATTGCTTCCCTATAATGATAAACGCTAATGACAACGAGAATGAGAGATTTTTATACATTGGATGGAACTCAAATCAATCAGTCCAGACAGAAACGATATAAAATTTGAATTTTGCTATGATGATCAGAATATAGGGTTGAGTAAAGAAAATTCCATGGTCAGCGGAAAATGAAACAGGATCAAATGGACGTTCGTGAGCAAAATCTAAAGCAAGGTAGTAATATTTTTAATATAACGGATGGTTCAAAATATTTTTTTCTCTCAGATGTTCTACGATAATACGTTGATACGACGATGAGACAAGTCACATTAGGTAAGATCCAGAAATAGAGAACCAGAGTATAGACTAGACAACACCTTATTAAACACAATTACAAGCAGTCATAAAGAATTTAGAGTGGAAACCAATGATGGCAAGTGAAATTACATATTTATTAGTCAGTAGTCTGTGTCCATTTGTCCACTCCCAAGGATCAATCATATCTCACTGTCACTGCCACATACCAGTCTTTAACTGAAGGAAAAGATGAACGTCTGGACGTTAATACAGAAAGCTAAGGAAAGAATGTAAAGAGAAACTGAGAATCACTATCACAAGGAATGCAGACATGATGGAATTTCCTCGTTTAGAAACACATGTACACACGCAAAGTAATGTTATGCGGAGTATGCCTATCTTTCTCTGTTGCCTGGTGTCCGTTTTCTGTGCGAAGATTAGTCAGAGATGAAAGGCCGATTCTCCGTAAGCCACCACTCTAGTTAGATTTAGATAGTTAGTTATCGTTAACCCCGAGTCTCGGACAAATTCTTCGACATCCATGGCAGATTCATTTTTTCAGTGTAAGTTGAATATCCGCGAGTATCCTTAAACACTTATAGTTAGATATTCAGAGGGAATTTCACTATACTCTCTGAAGTTGTAATCATGATACTGACAAGGTTATCATCGTCATTAAAATCCGCAACACTGGCTTTCTTCTCTAAAAAAAAACACTAGCCTTATTGAAGAGTTGTCGTTTATTTGTTTTTACTTCTTGTCTTGTATTTTGACTTTCATTCAGGTTAACCATACTGTATGTTCTTTGGTCTTTCACATCTAAGCTTCCTTCATGTGGCCCTGGTTAATCATTTCCCTATTGTTAAGAAATTTTACTGTTGCACGTTACCGTACTATTAACACTTAGGTTGCGTCTGACGAACTCAAGGTCATGACGTTGTTCACTAAATGACAGTTAACCCTTGACTGTCTACATGGAAAGGTTATCGGAATCTTTGCAGATAGACATCTGGTCCCATCTGGTTGGGAATACTTTTATGGATTTTCAAGTATTGGACTCTCGCTTATTAACAATTTCTTGAATTGTCTAGCACGTTAGTTTGCTTTAGGGAAACCCTTGACTGTATAGCATGGGCTGTACCGTTTGAGGTATTTTGTAATTTCAATATAATTCATTCTCTATTAAATTAGAACCGTTTACGTTGAACACTGGGTTTGTGCTTTGATATAATTCAATACATGTAACTCAAAAACGCTTCATGCGCTATACAGAAGAACTTAGTGTGGTCTCAACGAATAAAGTTTTGGCTTGATAGTTCTTTCCATTGTTACGTTCTCTTTAACATTCGGTGTTAAAAGTAGATGCCTAGACTCCTAAGTCACTTCAACATTCCCTGCATCATTCGAAACCGTTCCACATTGTTACAAGTCACAACTTACTGTTATTTATTACTCTTATCTGAAGACTCTTCGGACACACCTCGCTTTAGTAACGGAGGATAGTATGAGTTTATCTACTAATTGGTCATACTTATTCATGTTCCACTTCAAACCACAAAGCATTGCTGAGGAGTTATATCTAAATGGTTTGATGCTTTTTTGTTTCTCTTCTTCAGCATTACGTCCACAGTGAATAACAATAAAACTTCTTATGCCTATAATCAACCTAGAACAGACTCAACGTACACACCTTTCAAATTCGCAGCTCATACCAAGCGTCTTGTAGCATTTACTTTGTAACAAATATAAACTAATCATATATTTGCATTGTATAAATAATTAGCAGAATCACGATTCTAACACACAAATGAAGACAATCGACTTGACGTGTCTTTAATAAGGCCACAAACGGGACGCGTTACAGTTCAAAGTAAACATAAGCCAATCATACAGCTCTGTTCTATATACCCAATCACTAACCTGCCAGTATATGTGCACGAATGTTTGCACTAGTTTTATAAATTCATTTATCCTACTTGAGAAATATCTCATATGTAAGCTAACTTTTGCCTGTGAAAATTGCATGTACGTGTTCTGTCGGAAGTATATTAGTATTATTATTAGTGTTATATCTAGAAATGGTTGATTTACTTGATATAACGCGTACAAATGAACACAC